AGACTGTAGACTAGACTATAGACTAGACTGTAGACTAGACTATAGACTAGACTATAGACTAGACTATAGACTAGACTGTAGACTAGACTATAGAATAGACTATAGACTAGACTATAGACTAGACTATAGACTAGACTATAGACTAGACTATAGACTAGACTATAGACTAGACTATAGACTAGACTATAGACTAGACTATAGACTAGACTATAGACTAGACTATAGACTAGACTATAGACTAGACTATAGACTAGACTATAGACTAGACTATAGACTAGACTATAGACTAGACTATAGACTAGACTATAGACTAGACTATAGACTAGACTATAGACTAGACTATAGACTAGACTATAGACTAGACTATGACTAGACTATAGACTAGACTATAGACTAGACTATAGACTAGACTATAGACTAGACTATAGACTAGACTATAGACTAGACTATAGACTAGACTATAGACTAGACTATAGACTAGACTATAGACTAGACTATAGACTAGACTATAGACTAGACTATAGACTAGACTATAGACTAGACTATAGACTAGACTATAGACTAGACTATAGACTAGACTATAGACTAGACTATAGACTAGACTATAGACTAGACTATAGACTAGACTATAGACTAGACTATAGACTAGACTATAGACTAGACTATAGACTAGACTATAGACTAGACTATAGACTAGACTATAGACTAGACTATAGACTAGACTATAGACTAGACTATAGACTAGACTATAGACTAGACTATAGACTAGACTATAGACTAGACTATAGACTAGACTAGACTAGACTAGACTAGACTATAGACTATACTATACTACAGACTAGACTGTAGACTAGACTATACACTAGACTATAGACTAGACTATAGACTTGACTATAGACTCGACTATAGACTCGGCTATAGACTCGACTATAGACTCGACTATAGACTAGACTATAGACTCGACTATAGACTATACTATGTGTAATTTTGATTCGAATAAATGAACTTTTTTCACTTTTTATAAAACTTAAAATGATAATTTTAATGTTAAATGATAAGAAAAGCAATATTTAGCACCTAAATTATATTTCTAAATAAAATGTCACATTATTAAAAAAATGCCTAAATTAATTTTATTTGAAATTGCAGTTTCTCTCAAAAGCCTACAATAAAGAAAGAAATGAAACATTTTCTTTTGAATCTATCACTAGGGGTTTTTCCTTCGTATAACTTTTATAAAATTAAATGTGATAAATGTGCATAGAATTATATAGAAAATGTTAAGACTTTATTTCATTTACATGATGGCAACCTACAGAAAAACTTGTGCTAAACGAGAAATACTCCCATGGACATGATGAAATAATCTTTTGTTTTAAAGTTTATTTACATTTTAATGTAAAAAGTTTTTTTTTTAATTTTTTCTATTTCTTTTATTTAACAGCACTTTTGCCATAAAAGATGTTGAAGATATTTATGTACATAGATATGTACATTAAAGAGTTCCGATAAACAGCCTTTTAAAGCAGCGGTTCCCACCGTTTTTTACTTCGCGGACCCCTTGAGGAACTTATTTAATTTCACGGACCCCCATACATATTTTGATATCTTATTGTTATAAATAATTGTTCATCCGAAAATTGTCTTAGTCCTGGTCCATAAACCCTATAAAATATTCCCGTACATTGAGAATAATTAGTATTTCGGAGATGTTTTCAATTGCATGGTTTTAAATATAGAATGACTTCTAACATGATGTTTAATTTTATGATCGTGAGAAATTTCATTTGAATTTTAAAATACCTACGAATTATTTTAGTGCGTGGTTTTGACTATTTACGCAAAACGCTATGAATTTTCTGATGTTGATTTAATAATATTGGACAACAAAATGAATTTAAAATCTGTGTATCACGTCGGAATTGAATATTTATATTTAAAATTAACTAGATTAACACTTTTGCTTACAATTTAAAAAAATATTATGAAATGTGACCTAACTTCATATTCCGGGATTCCAGTATCAGTATTTAATTCTAAGGCAAATCATTATCCGTCTGATATAAAAACATTTATTTCGATACATATACATTTATAAAAATTACAAATCATATAAATGTGAAACAATAAATTTGTAGGGCCTGGCTTCATCCTGATAAACGACCGAAACAATAAAATTCAAAAAGTCACCAACAAATCTGGGATTATTGAATAAAAATTGTGCATTTTAGTATTTATAAAAAATTTGGAGATATTTTTAATATTTTCTAACATATAGAGAATATTTTTTATTCATGATTTTTTTTCGTTCGTCTTCGCGGACCCCCTAGGATTTTGCTGCGGACCCCCTTTTGGGAACCGTTGTTTTAAAGAATCTCAGGTATACCTCTCAATCTATGTGTATTAACGTACTGAACACGAGAAAAATAAAAAAATATAGTTTTTGGAATGCTTGAAGTTGGTTTGAAATTGGTCTCAAAAATTTACACATTTTTTTGTATGTTTCTCCCGGTATGTGAGTGGCTAATGTTCTAGTCTGTTAGACCAGAGATCGTGGGTTCGATTCCCACCTGATGGAATTTATTAGATATATGTGGCCTCCGGTAAGTTATTGTTCTAGTCTGAGGAGGTCGTGGGTTTGATTTCCACCTGAGGCACTTGTTAGTATTTCTTTGGATTTGATGTAACATCCCCCTTTCTAACTTATTAACTAAGCATAATTGTAGTTAATAAAAGCTGGGTCCAATTATGGACCGACCTCTACAGAATTAATATGATTTATTTTAAGAAATTTCTAAATCTTTTTAATTTTGTAGAACTTGGACCATAATTGAGTCATTTTCAAAAGAGGACCTTATATGGGAGATAGTCAATTAAAATACGATCCTTATAAATTTTCGCCGATATATGTTTATTCGTATAATACTTGTTTGCGTTTATTCGTATAATACTTGTCTGCTATTATTAATCGTTAAAGTCGTTTTCTGACAGGGACACTATATGGGGTGTAGGATCAATTATGAACCGATCCTTACCAAAGGAGATTTTTGCTCTAATAAAACTTGTTTGTGTAGAATTTCGTCACGATATTAATATTATGAATCCAGTTATGAGCATTAAATCCATTTACTGTATATGATCTAATAGGTTGAGTAGACACAATAATTGTTTGATATCCGCCATACCTTAGAATATAATTTCTAGGTACATAAAACTAACTTGTAAAAATTTGATCACTATTACTGCCTAATTAACTTATTTATGACTTATTAAACTGTATTCCGGGGGCCACTTGTATGGGCGCTAAGTGAAACCGTAGACCGATATGGCTCATTTAGTATACCAAGCAAACACTATCAAAAGAGAATGACTGTACAAACATTAATCGACATCCTCCCACGAAGTCTCTATCGTGCTTTCAACATAAAGACTGTCGAACAAGGCAAGATCGTCTTAGAATTTAATAAGGTCCCGGAAAATATATACTTGTGTGGGTTTAAGTGTGACCAATATTTCTATGTGTTTCAAACGGAATGACCAACCCAATATACTTCCAATAATTTTGTTGGTCGTTATAAAAATATATGTAATTCTCTATTTTTCATCCAATAAATATGAACGACATTCACTTTCGTCACGATGGAAATATGTATGGAGTTTTCAGGCGAAAAGTTCTTGTGTATAAAAATTAACAATAACTACAATGAAGCTGTATGTTATTTTCAATGTATTGTGCTATGTAAAATAAAGTTTCTAATTTTCCGGACTTTTTCATTCCCGGAAATGTAGACAAGTTTTCAATACGTAATAGCCTGCAACATCTTAAAGAAATTTTATATCTTTTCACTTTTCGACATTTCTGTATCACTTTTACGGAATAAATTTTTATAAATAAATTTGTAATTCTTTCACAGAATTATATATACATAATGTACATATGTATGTATGTATATTAGGGTGATCGATTATTCGACATTTTCCAAAAACCGGTTTTCGAATAGTTCGAATAGTTGACATTTAAAAAAAACCGGTTGATATTTTCCAAATTCAGAAAAAACCGGTTAACCGGTTTTTAATCATAAATAAAAAAATATATTTTAATTTGAAAAACTTACCCCCTTATTTTGTAAAACACTTCACCTTGCGTTGAAAATATTTTCATACAAATATTTTAAAATACAAAAACAATTTATATGAAAAATGAAGTGAAGTGAGGGGAAGGGATTTACAAAATAACCCCCTTAATGTTTATGTTTAAATTTGATTAATAAAACATCGCCCGAAATGATTTTTAACAGTTTAAAAGATTATAACTTTAGATCTAGTCGTCTGATTTACATTATTTCTTTAATATAAAAAATTAGGAAAAAAGCAGAACACTTCTGTTAAACATAAGGTACTATGTTATCCTAGCTTATTTTAAAAGAACTGTTTAGGAAATTTTCATAGGCAATCCAACACTTCCATAAGATTTCAGCCGTAAATTAATTATTGAAATTGGAATATAATATAATATAATGATAAAATTTTATCAAACAGTTATCAATTTTACAAATAATTTTTTTTAATTAATTAGGAAAATCAAAAAAGTTTAACCAAAGGAGCTGTAGAAAAATATACGCTAGTTCCTCGACTCGAATATTTTTGAAATTTAGACGGGCTGTATTATTATTTACTTAAAAATTTCATTTACATAATCTTTGAATTCAAAGCAAATAAAAGTATTCGAAACCGGTTTTTAAAAAGTGAAAAAACCGTGTTATTCGATATTCGAAAAATCAACATTAAGAAAAAACCGACACTGGTAAAGCAGAAAAAATCGGTTTTAAAACCGGTTGAAAAATCGAGTCGATCACCCTAATGTATATACATATGTACGTAGTACATCGTAGGATCGGAAATTATATTATGGAATTACAAATTTATATATAACATTCTCATGAATGTACATATTTTAAATAAAAAAAATAATTAAATTATAACCTTTTAATTTTTTGCAGATGCAAATAATATTATGCTAAATGAACAATCAGAAAAGTTTACAGAAACGGTGAAAACAACCAATGAAACCGATATTAAAAACAGACAAATTATGGAGAAAACTTTAATAATTGTAAAATTTGTCATTGAAAATAAAATAAACGAAAATATAAATGAAATGATGACGGCAGCCACCACCAGAGCAAATATGATGAAACAAACAAATAAATTTAATAACAGTAATACAATTAAGAACAATAATACAGATTGTTTAAATGAAAACAAATGTAGAACACCAGCAAGCCGGACGCCATATAGAAAGATATCCCTTACTAAAACCAAAACCACCTCAAACAACATACACACTCACAATAGCAGCAGTAGTTTCTATATTATCAATCGTATAAGACACCAGATGTCCTGTGCTTTAAATAAACAACATTTGTGGATGATGCTGTGGTTGCTGGTGACATTAATACAACATGTGGAATCATTAGAAATGACAACAGGACCATACCACGCAGCACACCACACGTCTTCATCAACCGTGCGGTATAGTCAACTCTTAAGCACAAACGGTCAAATGACCATGAATGGCAATGCAAAGAGTATGGACGAAGTTGACGACGATACATTTCGTCCGTTTGTGCCCAAAGATCCAGAAATGATATCGCGTAATGTGTTTACGCCATCTGGACAATTTCGTGTCTTTCAACCCATTGACACAGATTTAAGAGCAGCCGTGACAATACAAAGCAAAAGTCAACATTATGGAAGAAATAAAATGTCAGATCCATTAAACTCATCTTCATCAGCAGCAACGACAACGGCAGCAGCAGCAGCACCGAAACAAACATCCTTAGTGCATGACACACAACATATGACTGGAAACCATAAAAATAATAAAGGCAATGTTAAAGCTCATGTTGAAGGAGCAGTCTACCAAATAGACTCCAGTAATTTATCATTAACGAAACATCAAAATCAGCAACAACAACAACAGCAGCATCAAAATCAACAACCAGAACCACAACTACATAAAACGTTCAGAAAAACACATGAGATTAAACAACAACAACAATATCAACATGACCATAAACAACTCATGAACAATGTGGATGTTCAACGAAATGAAATTTCCAAAAAGGATGATTTGACATCAGATTTCAAAAATCTCGAAGATTTATTAGTCGACTATGTAACGAACTTTTTTGAAAAAGGTCAATACGAACCCATGCCTGGTCTCTTGGTTGAACTACAAAACAATCAAAGCCAACCACTGGCTAACGAACTGACCACCAAGACACGTAATGTGCGACAAGCATCGTTTGCCACTGATGCTAAGGTTAAAATTGATTTACCACGAACGATGGCGACAGGACGTTTATTATTTTTAACAGGTTTGCACGACAGAACAATTTTGGGTTATTTTTCAAACGATGATTTATTTATGTTTTTATTATATTTATAGGTCTTAAAAAAGTTTTATGGCCTGTTTTTATGGGTTTACAAGTTTTGAAATCCTTACTTATCGCCATGTTTATACCGGCTATTATTGGTTCGTTTACGAAATTATTGGGCAAAGGTAAGTAGTTAAGAGATTATAATTGGTGTGTGTTAAGAGCTAATTAATAATGTTTGTGGTATTCAAGCGCTCATAAAGGCTACTAATAGGGGTCACTAATGAGTTTATATAATGAGTCAATTTATAATTTTTCTAAAGTTCAACGCGTAAATTTAACTAATTTTAGGACGTCACTGCATTATACACAAGGAATAGAAGTTTTTTTTAAATTTATTTGTATCTTGACGTCTAGCAATACAATAAAGTCATGATTCTTTAACGCTCAAAAGTGATTATAATCGTGTTCTATTAATCGTGTTCAATGTCGTAACCTCTGCTTTCCGACCAGACTATAATTAAATCTAATTAGATACATTTGTAATTTATTATTAAGGTAGTCAAGATCATCTCTTCTTCTAGTACTACATACGACTGTATATTAACAAGGACTAGTCGAGTTCCTATCTATAGATGAAGAAAGAAGTCATGATATTTTAAAGCCGATTTTTGAGGTCCGCTAAAGAAAGCGCTCTCTTATAATATTCCATATCACAACCAAAGGGATATGAATGTTACTGCTTACGACGAATTCATTGGTCATGACAAATTTGAACATTTTTGAACAAATTTTGAACATTTCTCTAAATACTCTAAAAGTCACAGTCAATCCTTTTTATAACCTCCACCAACATCAGTGGTGATAGAGGATATATAGAGGTTTGTCATTCCGTGGGTAACACCAAGAAATATTCATCCGAGACCTAACAAAGTATATATATTCCGGGTCCTTATCAAATTCTGAGTCGATTTAGCTATGTCCGTCTGCTTGCCTAAAACACGCTCACGTTAAAACTAAGCAAAATAAATAAACCAAATTCACCCGAAATATTCATTGTTGTCCTAAGCAGTTTGGTATTGAAAATCAGCAAAATCCGTTCACAATGTTAAAAGTTATGAGTAAAAATTTCAGACTACCTCGAAAAAAATTAAGTTTTTTTTCGTAATTCTTAAGTCGTTTTCTCAGAAACTACAAAAGATAATTCGATGAATTTCAGGGATCAATTATGTGGAAAATCAAAACAATCGATCCAAAATTTCTCATAGCCCCCATACCAAGGTACATATTTCCGGAAATGGATTTATTGTTAATAATTTCATCAAAAATATCGGTATCAACTCAAAATTTTGCAGATATAAATATAATATGAACAGAAATCATACTACCATCGTAGATTTGTATCGGTCCACATAGTTCCCATATAAGGCTCACTTCCGAAAGTCACTCAAACGTGCATTTTTCACTGATAAATAAGCTATCGAGATAAAATTCGACATGAATATGTTTTTTGTATATATGTATAAATCACTCTACGAAATTCTATCCGAATGCGTTCATAATTGGTCATAGCTCCCATATAAGGTCCACATTCGGAAATCACTTAAACGAGCTTATTTCATTGATAAATAAAACTATCGAGATAAAATTCAGCACAAATATTGTGTATGTATCAATCACTCTAATAATTTGATTCCGGATAGGCCCGTAATTGGTCATAGCTCTCATATAAGGTCAACTTCCGAAAATCACTTAAACGTACATAATTTATTAGCTAATAAAGCTATCGGGGTAAAATTCGACGTGAATATGTTTTGTATATATGTAAATCATTATGCGAAAATTTTCCCGGATCGGTCCAAAATTGGTCACAATTCCCAATAAGAATCATTTAAGAAAATAACTTAAATGCACAATTTCATTGACAATAACAGTTATCGGGATAAAATTCAACTTGAATATGTTTTGTGTATATATAAATCTGTTCATAAATAGTCATAGGTCCCATATAAGGTTCACTTCTGAAAATCACTTAATACCACGGGGTATAGATAAATTATTCTGCTAAAATGTTTTCCAATTGATCCGTTATAGATCGTAGTTCCCATATAAGGCCAACAACATCGTTTAAAAAGTCTTTGTCCGAAAATCACTTAAAATAAACTTTTTTCGACCTCATCAAAATATGTTCCATATATGCATAAAGAAATTACTAAATGATAGCACCCTCACTACGGAAACTAAAATTATGCCGAGTTATCTAAAAAGTAGACAGTTAAATGGGTTTTAATAAAATGTAGATTGCTGGTGGAGGGTATTTAAGATTCGTCAAAACCGAATATAGCACTCTAACTTGTTTATAATAACATGTTTATTAGGTCAAGCTTCAGTTGTTAAATTATTGGTTCTTAATTTTCGTGCCAATTTAGTGGGAAGTTTAGAGTTCAAATCAAAACACTAAGATTCTCCAAGAACAAAGTAATACCATTGAATGAAGGTACACTGAACCGGAAGAATCATTCATACAACAACCAGAAATTAGTTATTCTTGCACCTGATTATAATAAAAACCAATTTAACTTAGATTTTAAGTAACATTTTCTTATTCCAGGTATTTCAACAGGATCTGCTCCACTATTCATACGTCCCATGGAAGCGCCACAAGAATTAGATTTCCGTGATAATAGTATAAACTTTGATGATGACAAGTTCCTAGTTACCGATGAGGGTGTAAAAAATAATTCACCCTATGCCTACAATCAACCGGGTTTGTTTTAAAACGAATTGAATACAAACTTAAAAGTATATAAAATTTATCGTTAAAACTAATTTCTACTTTTTCCACAGATGCTTCACAAATGCACAACGAATATGTTTTTGATCCATCGTCCGCCAATAATCAATTGACGTACACCCGTTTGGGCATGAATGAACGGCAACATCAACTAATGCAAGATTCTTACATGAGTGCTCTACAAAGTATAGGCTCAGCCTCATTTAAAAATTCTGGTTCTTTATCGAGTGGTTCCTCGGGTCTAGTAGCACCCATGGCTAAACGTCCACCACCAGCGGCAAATGTTAATACATTCCAACAATTTCAAAATGTACCCGATTCCTCATTACTACTCTCCAATTACGATCCTTTCTATAGTCCTTTATTGTCACGCCTGGATTCGGTGTTTGCCCAGCTGAAAATCAACTCAGACAAAGAAATGTGTCGTGAAAAATTGATTTGTTTAATGTATGCAAATCCAGCAAAATATGCACCATACAGTAATTTAGTGTCGGCCCAATTGAGTCGGTAAGTGTAAATGTGAATTAAATTTTTTTACATTTAAATTTTATACGCTAGGCCTAAAAGTAGGCAATTATATGGATGATGTTATGTTGTGTAGGTTGTGTATGTGTTAGAATTCGTAAACATACTCATACATTTAGGAATATGATTTATCCCAATAAGCAAAAACCTTTGAAATGATGTAAATATGTATTTGAAAACCTATTCAAATTTCATACATAGCCTTTGAGAACAAATTTGAAATTTTTTGTTTTCAAATGGAAAATTATGGCCTTCTCAAACAAAAAGGCAGTTAGAAATCAAACGTATTTTTCAAATGTATTTGAAATTTAAAAAAAGGCTAGAGGTAAGCTTGAAACTTAAAAAATTTTCAAACGTATTTCAAGTATTCTTTATTATTATTTTCATACATATTTCAAACCCTACACAGAGAAAACAGATTCGTTGTGATAACCGAATTTGTTTCCAATCGAATTCAGTCGGTTCTCACAACTATCCTAAAATTCGATTGTTATTATTGTAAAATTTGGTTGCTATTACTGAATATACGGTGTGCACAACTATTTGTATTTTTTATTCGGTAATCTGGGTTGAAATTATTGGTATTTGCAACTGAAATATTATTTATTGAAAACCAATTTGTGGATTATGTGTATTTTAAAATAAATTTTATTTTGTTTAAAGTATTTACAAAAATATGAATATGTTTAAACTTATAAAACTTATAAATACAAATTAACAACTTCTCCCCTTTAGTTTTAAGATTTTGATGTTAATAAACATAGCGTTTATGTACCAGGGATTTTGCTCTTCATTCTGTCCAACATACAGCCTTTCTGCGGCTGTAAAATTATTAAAAATTATAGAAAAATAACACAAAATAGATTAAAAGATATAAGATATAAAATATTCTAAACATTACCTTGTTTTATGCGAGTTTCCGCATTAATTTATCCTCAAATGTAATTAAGTTTTTTAAATTATAAATTCATTTTATTATATTTATTTTTTGTAAACGTCAACTACAATTACCAATTAATCGTTTGTGAACATCGAATTTGGTTCTTTTAACCGTAATTAAATTTTTAATAATTTTTTCAATTGATAATTGGTTGCAGGGCTCAATATTTTTTACTTTCTACTGTTTTACGGTTACAGCGACTAATATTTGATGTTCTTATGTTTCAATTCTAAATAAAAGTCAGTTGCATTTATTGAATTCACAAATGAATTTAATAACCGATACAATTCAGTTCAAATTATTGAGTTGGAAATTGTTAAAACCACAATTCGAATATTATTATGTTTTTTTAATACTGAATACAGAAAATCAGTTAATTATACAGTTTTTCAATAACAGCTATACAATTTTAATAAATTTAACTAACTATTAATCATGGTAAACGATTTCCAATCGATCTGTTTTCTGTGTGTAATTATAATGCTAACTATTGCAAAATTCATATATATTTTTTACATCACCTGAAAATAAAACATTCATACATTTATTTTAGCATATTTTTCTTTTATATCTCCGATTATTTCTCCTATATTTAACGTTTTTTCGCTCCCTTGCTGTAGAAAAAATGTTCTGTTTTTATTTTTCTAAAATAATTTATTTTTTGAAAGAAACTTTTCTAAGTTCAATTAAAACAAAACTTTGAAAATTTTATAAATATCATACATTATATTTTTTTAAACGTTTTTTGAAATTATCATGTTTATTTAAAAGCTAAACTTTAAAATTTGAAAACAATTTGGAAAATACATTATTTAGTTAAGAAAATTTTCAAAAATATTCACAGGTTTGAATCGATGTTTATTGGGATGGATTATTTTTTTAAATTCTTTTGTTGTTTATTTACAAAATTTACAAAATATTTTTGTTTTTGTTTTTTTATTTCTATGAAATATTCATTGTTTAGATATCATGTCAAGGTTATCAATGTCTTTACTGAAAAATTCTGCTAAAATATTGTTTTGTAAAAATTTTTTTTCGATTATAACCAGGGAAACCGAAAACATGCTCTAAAAAAGTATTTTAAGCGCTTTAAATATGCCGTAAAAAACTCAAAATATGCTCTTAAAATTTAAAAATATATGCTCCAAAAATAATTATTTAAATTATATTTTAACATTGAAAAGCTTAAAAAGACTGAAATTGTAATGAAATAACAAATATTTAATGTCATATTTCATCCTACTAGATTTTTTATAATTGATTCATCTGATAGTTTGAAGAACTAGTTTAATAGAACTCTGTTTTACGTTCAGATAACCAATAAATAACATGAAGCCATTTGGTCCCCAAAAAACATATTTCAAACGACAAAGTTTGACACATTTCTTCCAATTGTATTCATAGCTTCACACAGAAAAACACCGAAACACGTGAACTTAATTTTCGGTTGTAGAATCTAGTGGCATACTCCGTTTTGAAAAGTTAGGTTAAAATAGGGAGATATTGGATTTTAAAGTTTACACTGTTTCTGATGTGTTTTTTGATTATTTAAATTAAAAAAACTTTCACGCATAGCAAATTATGAATTAATTATGCATATACATATATTTAGCTTTTTATAATTAGTTCGTATGTCTATGCGTGAAAACTTTTTTCAAAAATTTAAAAATTAAAAAATCACCTCATAACAGTTCATACTTTAAAACACAATATCTCCCGATTTTGACCTAAATTTTCTAAACGGAGTAAGCCACTAGATTCTACGACCCAAAATTAAGTTTAGGTGTCTCGGCGTTTTTCTGTGTCTTTTTGACATACTTAGACCGGGTTTTTGAGTTGGCAATCAAATGGCAATTAATAATTAGATTAGTTAATCTAAAAATGAATATGAAAATTAATGAAAACTTAAATTAAAAACAAAAAAATGTATTTTGAAGTGTCCATAATTTATACTAATCAATAAATAGAACATTTTAATGTTTATATATATAAAAATTTTATTAATTTTTTTGCATCAGCTGTTTACACTTTTGCATTTCGTGCTTAAGATTAAACCACCTCCATTGGGCGCTTAAACTTGCAAACAAAATTAACTAATTGAGTACTCAAAAACATCTTTCGAGGATTAATTTTAATTTAATCACTAATCCTTCACCTAAAGATTGGCCCTTACAGTGTTATCAATACTAGTTTTTTAAACGATAAAAATGGATTGGTGTCATAAAATCCAAAGTAATCGGTTTTATGTCCGATTTAAAATTTAATGCTTTATTGAATAAAAAATATAACATTGGTTTTCATGAGACTAATGTATTTTTTGCAGTTTTCAAGTTCTACAAAGAAAATATTTTTTTTTTCAAAATTGTAAAATAGGCTAAAAAATTAAAAAAATAAAAAAACTTAAATTTGATTTTTTTAAATAAAGTTTTGAAAAGAAAATTAAAAATGTACAAAAATGAAAATAAGCGAAAAACTTTAAAATATGCACTAAAAGAGTAAAGTATGCTCTAAAAACTCGAAAATATGCCTTAAATATGCTACAAAAGTCAAATCATGAAAAGTTATGCTCTTATGGGTAAAATATGCAAAAATATGATCTAACAAATCGATGCCAAAGTTCTTAAATTGGTCTGAAACGTATAAATATCTTATCCATGAGTCCATACAACGCACCACAAAAAACATGCATTTGCATATTTTGGTTTCCCTGATTATAACTCACAGTTACATAGACCTACTCTATACATAATACAAATCACAAAAACATGACTTTAAATGTTTAAATTTAATAAAATTTATTTTAAATACTGATTGAATTATTGAGTGTGATAATGTTACATTAGGATTGGGATAAAAAAAATATGAATGTTATGTGAAGTTTTAGATTTTCAGAAAATTTTTGTATAAATTCCTTGAATTTCCTTTTCTGTAGTAATAGGAAAACATACAATCTCTCACATCTGATATCAACTTTAATTGTCATTGAAATGCGAAAAGTTGTCAGTCACAAACTGTTTCTATTTAGGTCACACCATTGCACTATGGTTATAAACAAAAACAGGGTTTATTCGAATTTTAGGATATGATATGTGGAAAATCTAACGATATGGAGATATTCAGATGCCAGACTTTTATTGAGTGCAGCTCAACATTGATTTTTTCACATTTTTTGTAATAAAATTTTGAGAATTACCTTTAAAAATATAAGTCTAGAATACCACAGAAAATATATTTTAGTAATTTTATAGTTTTGATCATAAAAAGGTCTCGTCTGAACCATAGTGCATTGTAACCATGGTCCCTGTAACTACTGACACAGTTTTTTTTATCCAATAAATGTTTTTACTATTTCTAAATTCCATCTATTTTTTTATGCTTTGAGTTCTATGAAATGATGTTTTTATGTTTTGTCACGTGTAACGCATTCTCTATAAATCATGTGATATAAATAAATAGTTCTGTATGAAATGAAATATATGAATTTACAGTGGTAAATAACAGTTGTGTGCATGTTAACAATTAATTTGAAAAAAAAAAATTGAAGATCAAGCAGCCAGAAACCATTTGATTGATTTCGTATAATAACAAATAAAAGTTTTTATTCGAATAATTTAATAAAATATAAATAAAATTTGCCAAACACCTTCAAAATCTTAAGATACGGGTAAAAACGGGATTCGTACATTATAAATACACTTATAAATCAGTAACTTAGTTGAATCTCAACCTATTTTAAATTTCTCAACGGATTTAAAAGTGAAAGCTGAGGCCTTTATAATGATATATATGATGTTTAACTAACCTGTTTTGCAGATATGGGCGTGAGCGACCATATGAATATTAAATGTGATTTATTTTTCATAATAAAGCATATATCTTCAATATTACCTTGTTCCGATACATTTAGACAATTTATGGATGAAAAACTAATATTCTGAGGCTTTAAATGGGGGCTAGAGGCAAATATGGACCAAGTCCGATAAAATTTTGTAAATATTTTTATATTTAGATAATATTTATTTGTGCTGAATTTCATCGAGAT